CATGGGTAACTCCAGGCGAACCATCGACATCGATTGCAAGGCCAAATCGCTATGTACGGAAGACAATGCTCTGTGTTTGGTGGGATCAGAAAGGTGTGATCTATTATCCCAAAGAAAAAATAATTTATTTAACTTTAATGATATGTGTCATATTCGTATAATTGATTATCAAATTAATTAAATTCTACCAAATTAAAAAGTAAAACCCTAATCTTTTTTTATTATTTACTTAACTCTAATGATATGTATCATGTGTATATAAGTTTTTCTCAATGGAATTTTAAAATTATATACAAACTTACCTTTTTAAAAAAAAGGTAAAAAAAAGCGCTAAGCGTTGGTGAAACTGGCCCAAATAGGGCTTCTCGTAAAGAATCACCATTTGAGCCATTTTCACCAACGCCAATTACTTAATCGACCGTGAAACTGATAACTAATCACGTTTGCTGTTTAGTAGAACTAATGATATGTATCATTTATATAAAAGATTTGATATCAACAACTGGCGCCAAGTTAAATTCCATGTAATTCGAACAAATTAAATTTTACCAATTTATTCTTCCCAAAGAAATAATAATTTATTTAACTCCAGTGATATGTATCATATTCGTATAATTGATATCAACAAAATTGGTGCCATGTTAAATTCATCAAAATTTTATCACAAAAATGTTATGTATTATTCCTATAAAAGATTTGATATCAAGAACTGGCGCCAAGTTAAATCCCACTTCTTTGTACCATGCCAAATTAAATAAATAATGAATATTAATCTAATGGTTTGTATTATTTGTACGAACAATTTGATATCAACAACTGTGGCGCCAAGTTAAATTCTACTATCAGAATGAAAAGTAAAACTCAAGTGATACTATCTTTATTTATTATTTATTTAATCCAAATAATACTATCTTTAATTTTTATACAATGAAATCTAAGTATACGTATACTTATTGAATAATCTTCCTATTCCAATCCAAATGGTTTAAATTCTTCTTAAATGAAATCATTATATCACAATTCATTCAAAGACATTTCCTCTTCCAACTAAAGTAGTGGTTATTTAATTCTCCTTCAAAATATTATACAAAACATCACAAACGTGCGTTACCTTGCTCAATTCAAATGTTACCACAAAAATTAAAGAATTAACCTTATAAAATGAAAAAATTTAATTTAAATAGAAAAATTTTTCATGTAAAAACACTTGGCGCTGCTAGATCTCGATATATGATAATAACATGGTAATATAGTAGTAAAGCATGAATGTAAATAAGGATAAGAATATAATACTTAGAAAAACAATATAAATAAGAAGCATATTATATAATAAAAGAAAAGTCATAATCATATTAAAAAATTAAAAAATATGAATATTTCGAAAAATAAGAAAAATAAAAACTATCCCCAATGAGAGTTAATATATCTAGCATGTTTATATATAATTGAGTTATGGAGCCGTGTAAATTATGATCGTTGTGAATGCTATTAAGTTTGTAACAATGTGCCCCATAACCACATTGTTCCCGGCAGAACATCCCGCCGGATGCCGCAGCTGAGGGACCTCTGGTCACTCGCGGCGATGAGGGCGCGGTGCGCCCGAAATATTTTAAAGC